ACTCAAGGTCCAACCCATCTGGAATGACTCCATCTTGGAGTTGACAAAGCATGAAATGCAGAGGATCTGGCACAGTTGCCAAGGGCCTTATTTCCTTTGTGAAACACACACATAGATTTCTATTCCTAAACATGCACTGTCACAAGGTCTTTGTTTCACTTTTTACTGGTTTTTTTTTTATCATGCTTTTTTGTTTGGATCATTCAAGATGACAAAAAAACAAGTCAATGGCAAAATAAAAAGTTAATGGCTGGATAGAGAAGCTAGCAAATTCACACAAGTGTCCATTTTTCCACATTTTTTGCCATCCTAAGATTGTCTCTGTTATGATTATTTTCTTCTTTGTTCTGTTTTTTCGGCAGTCTACTCCTTACCAGGGTAGATATTCTTTAATACTTTAGGGTTCTAAAATAGAATATTTTGGTTTATGACAAGGATGTCAATATTGATAGCAGCTTCAGCTTAGGAAATCCTATGAAAATGCTTTATTAGATAAAGAATCTATTTCAGATATTGCAGAGGTAAAAACTTGAAAGATATTTCCCTTTTTGTAAAAATTCACCCATAGAAAGCAATGATTAAATTGTAAATAATGTAATTTCCAAACATGATTGTAGGTTTGAGGTAAAGAATATAATCATCAGCCCGTTTGTTTGGCTAATTCTAAAGTATGAGGATCTCTGCATGCAAAACTTGTTGACCTCCAAAGCAGAAAGTGCATGACAGAAGTAGATGACCAAAGCAGATCTCACCGTGTAGACAGAGATATCAATACTTTACAGGCAGCTGCAATATTAGTATTTATTTTGTTTTTGCAAATAATCTTAATCATTATCCTTTGTTTTTGCAACCTTTGGCGTTCAGTCTTACTGTGGATTTGATAAGGCAGCCTGTACTGGACCATGGGCTGCTGCTAAGCTCCTCCTATTTTATATGAGTAATTTACATTTACATGTTTTTTACCTTAAGAATTCTAAGTTTTATCATTTTGAAGGTAAGAAAACCACAAAAACACATTTTTCTACAGCTCGAATGCAATGAGTCATTGTCCATTCCTCCTCCTCACTGATGTAGCTATGTCATCATAAGCCTGCAGCACTGACTAAGCCGATTGCGTGCAAGCGCACTGGACACCCTCTGGCTCGTCATTGTTTTATCAGACAGAAAATTAGACCCTAATTCATGAGCCTCAAGGTCCTTCTCTCCCGCTCTGAATCCCACTGATGCATTTTCATGCCAAGACATGGAAAAAACACACCTACGCAAAGAAACATGCCCACATGGTTGCATGTGAATTATTTATAAATGTTCACTAAAGCTGAACAGAAAAATAGAATTGGAAATTGTTCATATAACTGTGTGCCAATAACACAAATTATTTTTTCCTCTCTTCCTCATAGCGACACATATTTACGCATATGATATTTTATGATGTCTCTATCCCAATTTAGCGCAGCTGTATTCACAGCGCTCTTCTTTTTTAATCAGGTCCATTCTCGAAATGCGATTACCCACACAATCATGCATTGCTTTGCAACTGCTTTCAACAGCAGCATTTTTTATTATTCGGGGTTAATTCAATAATCCAAATATAAAGTTGTACAAAATCCTGAGGAGGAAAAAAGGTTGCATCTTCCCAAATGTTTTACAACAAAAAATATTTAACTGTATGCTTGTTTTGCTCTGCTCACTTTACTCTTTTACCCCTAAGTAAATTCCTGTCAATCTGAGTTTAATTTATTCTGTCAATATACGCAGTCTTTCGGAGGTTTTTCAGAGCGCATTAGTGAACAAATATCATTATAAGGAATGACATACACAGCAGACCAATTAAAGGCAGTGTGAAAGCACTCAAAGTTTAAACATCTCAAAGGTGTGAGATCAGGGACAGGGCAGCGCTGTTTTTATAATCAGTGCTTTAAATGCACAGGAAGTTAGTCCTGGAATGGGATTTTTAATAAATCAACTTGGCTTGGTTTTTTTGTTTTTTCATCTTTTAAAGGCCTTTCACCCAGTTTGACTGAGCGTGTTTGTTGTTTTGCAAAAAAAAAAATAAAAATCAAATCTAAAGTCTAGCAATGAGATATCTTCATCATTAAATGCATTAAAAAGAGAACTATCAGAGGAATTATGCAGCATAATTTTAATTTCACATTTTTATAGTTCTGTTTGAGTAACATAGACCTATCAAAACAAACATCCATCCATTTTCCGACACCTTTTATCCCATGTGGGGTCGCAAGAGGTGCTGGTGCCTATCTCCAGCTGTCTACGGGCTAGAGGCGGGGTACACCCTGGCCACACCACTCGCCAGTCCATCACAGGGCAACACAGAGATAAACAACCATTCATGCACACACTCACACCTGAGGAGAATTTAGAGAGGCCAATTAACCTAACAGTCATGTTTTTGGACTGTGGAAGGAAGCCAGAGTACCAGGAGAGAACCCACACATGCTCAGGGAGAACATGCAAACTCCATGCAGAAAGACACCGGGCCAGGAATCAAACCCACGACCTTCTGCTGCAAGGCAGCAGGGCTACCCGCTACCCACTGCACCACTGAGAAGACATATCCTAATAATCTGAACAAAAAAGAACCTCCTTTGGTGTCGAAAGTGTAAGAGACAATAAAAGACATCCAAGCTGTGAAAGTAAGACTTTATCCTCAGATTTACAAACAGAAAAGTTGAGGCCCTTTTGGAAAAAACTGAGCAATTCAAACATAAGAGGAGGCGATCATTTCCTCCAATGAATTCTACGTGTTTAGATTAAGGAAGGCAGCAAATTAAAATTGGCAGAGAGATACTCCCATCTTATTCTTGTACACCTATAAAAATGCACATATGTACGTGTTCAGTTATGTACATGGGAACACGTTAGTGTTTTCTAGAAATATTGATGTACATGAACAATGTGGTCTTTTGTTTTCAGTTACATATGCCTTTGTGGTACCCTTTTGTTACTTTTTACATTTGCAAAAGATTAAAAATCTTTGCAAGGCACCAAACAGAAAAGATAAAATCTAAACCATGAGGTGTTTGGTCATTCAATGAAAGAGGCAGTAAAATTTCACTCAGCCCCATGAGAAAGAGTTACAATGAGAACACCAGTCAATGATCATAAATGTCCATACCTGATAACCCTGACACTGCATCATCCTAAGCAGAAATAGATCAGTGATCACGCCTACATTTAACCTTTTGATTAAAGTCCAGCAAGTTATTGAATAACTAACTGAAAAGATGAAGAAAGAAATCAAAAATTAATACTAAGGAGTGTGATAAGTAAATGCAAACCAGCATAAATAGAGACAGATTAAAATGATGAAGCAAATTATAAGATATGAGTAGATATTGATTTGATGGTTTTCATGCATCTTTATTTTCTTGACTTACAGTATGTTTCACAATTATATCCTATTGCATAAAAAGCACTTAGATTCTTAGATCTCTCCTTATAGTATCAAGCTGAAGCTTCCTCTCTGACATCCACCACAAATGTACTATTGACCTCCTTTAATAATACTGTCGCTGAAGATTTAAGAATGTGGCTCACCATAACCTGTGTGTCATCCAGCATCCCTGCAGGTGGTCCTATAGTCCTACCACTGGCAGAGAGGACATGCTGATAGGACAGCAGAGGCTGGCTATTGTCCTCCCACGCAGCCTCGTCAGTATTCATCTTGAGCCACTTTGACCTAATGAAAAAGGAAGAGGCATATTACTGAGAGTGAACCCAGGCACCCCAATTAAAACTCGTACTTAAGCATTATTGCAAACTTGAATTTCTGATGAGGGCCAGATGCATCTTATTCTCTTTATCCTTACATTTATGTAGACAGTGAGGCAGGATTATTTTAACTAAAGAACGAAAACAATATTCAGCTCTTTAAATGGAAGAAGTCTGGAATCTGAAAATTTATACTTAAAACATCTGTCAATCAATCCATCCATCCATCCATCCATCCATCCATCCATCCATCCATCCATCCATCCATCCATCCATCCATCCATCCATCCATCCTCATGCTGTCCTCCCCCCACCTGTTGCTTTTAACCGATTGCCAGCTGGCTAAAAAGTTGGCTCCATTTTCTTTCATAATAAACAAGATTCATTGTATGAAAACTAAAAATAATTACTTTTATTAAACAAAAACTGTTCTAAACTAAAGTTAGCATTCTCTAAGCACCAGTTAATTTGAAATGTATCAGAATCAGAGCTGTATTTTTCAATACTAAACAATTTTTTGCAGTAACTTGAACTGAAAATCTCTGCTGTTTTTCAGGCAGGGTAATCCAACTCTTGGAATCCCATACTGCCCCATGCAATCCTAAAGTTTTAAGATAAACAATCAAAAGGGACATTTGCAAAGGATGGACTATGCTCCAAGTTTTAGAACTAAATAACTACAATATTAACTCGAAGTATTGAACTGAAAAGGAATGAAACAAGTGGAAGTTCTGACCTAGAAACATACATATATGACATCAAACATTAAAAACAGGAACTTTAAAAAAAAAAAGAAAATTTGCCTTTGAAAAGGATTTCCTCTGTGGCCTCTTTTCTCTTCAAGTCAGTTTCCTGAGCAATAATTACTCCTGCAGTGCAAGGTGAGGTGCAGTATAATCTCTGATAGCATGAGGAGCAGCAGCCGTTCTCTCCACAGCAACTGTCTTTGCACTGCTGGCTGCTGGCCTAATTAAAGGTCAGTAAGCTAGCTGGGTGCCAAAACAATATAAACAGATTCAAGGGAAATGCCACATGGGAGCCCAACACTTGGGAGGGTTTGTAATGTCTGGGTGCTGCATCCTCTTCCTTGGAAACAAAATCATTAAAGGAATTATAATCACATCAAGCCGCTGGCTCTCATGTGTGAAAGATAATGACATGGCACTGGTTTGAAAGCCCTGGGTGCTACAACTGTCTTCAAGTTTTACTTGTTTTTACTGGTTCCTGGGGATTTTGATCTAACCTCACGGCATTTTTTCTCACTTCAGTGAACATGACCTGGGTGAAGATGACATCTACGACTGTGTGCCATGTGAGGACGACGGGGACGACATCTACGAGGACATCATTAAGGTGGAAGTACGACAACCCATGGTGAGAAATATATATCAAAGGCCCCACCTTAATTCAGTTGATGATCTTTTGATTTTCTGAGCTGTGTGTCATTATACAAATGACTATACTAAATACATTCTTAAGGGTTGACATCTTTACCAAAATCCGAAAATTAGTCTGGATGCAAAAGATGCACAAAAAAGGCTGAAAAAGGAGTAATCATCATACATTTAATTAGCTACAAAACCATAGACAGTATGATTACTTTATGAATCTAGGCTAGAATTTCTGAAGATATAATATTTAGGCATATTAAGTTATTTTATATACAACAACACTCATAACTAGACAGCAAAATAACAAAAAAAGAAATAATATTTCCAATACAAATAAGAAATGGCTTAATAAAATCCAAGATAACACAGTGACAAGTATCATAATACACATGATATATTAAAGTTTTCTACATTCTACTGGGACTTTAATTGGACTTTTAATTGGAGTTTTTATCTACAAACACTACAAGTCAGTGTGGCATGTAAAAACAGAATAAATACTGTATGAATAAAATTATTAAAGCCACAGCATGGAGGAGGATCTGTGGTCCTATGGGCCTGATCCCCTTTAACACAGCTTGGAGCCTCCTGTGTTGCATGGCATTGTGATTTCTGATTTCTGTTTATTAGAAACATGAATAAAGATCAAGTTGCCTTGAAAATTTTAAATGTTTCATCATTACGTCCCTTGTTCCTGAAAATGATAAGATTAACACAGAAATGTTTGCTAAAAACATTCACTAAGAAACATGGGATTTTATCATCCCCTGAAGGTATGTTATAGTGTCCAAAGAGGAAATAGATGCTCTGATTAAATCTTATTTTTTCTCAACTTATTTGGAGTGAAATGATGCAATACTGTATGTTTATTTACTGCAAGGCTTTTGATACCTTTTCAGAAAAATTACCAGTAAATTTAACCGGCTGAGTGTTTCTAAAAGGGTGTGTGTGACAAGCTGTAGAATACAGCGTGCTGCACAGTATTTTTTGCTCTTATTTGATTTAATGTCAACCTGCTACAGACATTAATTAGGAGAAGCATAAACAACCAAAGCGAGATGACAACAATTCTGCTAAATCTAGTAGAAAAACTGTTTACCATTGACATTAATCCTCATGAGTTAAAAAGCGAGGGATAAAGGGTAAGAAGCTATGCTTGTGCTGCATTCTCACCCCACATTTTAAGTGATGTTTAAGAAAGAAGTAGTTTGAAATCTCCACACACTCATTTGACTGTGTGGGTTTTAAATGATTTATTTTACCATGAAGGTAAAAATCTCACAGTATTCTCATTATTCACTGCTTTGCACCTCGCGCTATTTTAACATTTTGTCACATTGCAACCACAAAACCTTAATGGATTTTAGTTGGACTTTTGGGTGACTTGGACTTGTGATGCACAACAATCGAAGTAATGAATTCTGATGAAGAATGGGCTTTTATAAGATAAACAGTTTGAATAAAATCTGAAACAGGGTTCATTTTTCTTCTTGCCTTAACTAGATAATTTGTAATGTTGGATCTCCTTGTTAATCAACCTGCTAAAGACAGAGGTGGGAGGAAGAGGGGGGGGTTCTTAGAATATTTTATCCATATCTTTTAAAACAGATATTTAAAAATCACTTTATGAAATATTTCTTATTTTTTTAATTTGATTCTTTACTTGCTGTTTCAGGGAAAAAAGCATGATATGTTTCCTTTTTGAGTCCATCTATTGGAACTAAATACAGGGCTATAAAAAAAAAAAGAACTTGTCTGTTGCTATAAAAGATTCAGGACTGGGTGGAGGTTCGCTTCTCAGCAGGATGATTACTCTAAACCTGCAGTCAGGGCCGCAGAGGAATTGTTTTCATTGGAGATCCTTCATAGGTTACAGTGGCCCAGACCTTGGCAGTTAGCGCCCCATCCAATATGACCTAACTGGAAGTACTATAGAAAAAAACATCTTTATTACTTTTGCAGATTACTTATTGTAAAAATCCTAACGCTATGCATCTAGTCACATAAAATGAAAGAAGATAAATTGAGGTTTGTGGTTGCAGTTTATCAAAATGTAAAAAAACTAAGAAGTTATTTGTGTTTCAAACATTTTGCAAGGTGCTGTGCTTGAGTGCTTAAGGAAACATCTGTCTTTTACTGTGTTTGTCGGTTCCATCCTGATGCAGCGTTTGCATTGACGCCAGTTCTCTACCATTTATTGTCTATTTCACACTTGGTTATATAAACTTTTCACTTGCTTTGCCCCTTCCTCATGCTGCAGATCAGATACATGCAGGTGAGTGATGCTGTGCCTGTGATTCATATCCTCACCCCTCCATGAGCCCTCCCATTAAGCTAACTTCTCCTCATCCCTTCATTTCAAACAAACATCATCCCATGAGAATGACCTGCCGATTAGGCTTAGTGACCCATGCATGGTGGCGGGGGAGACCCCATCTGGTTGAAAGTCTGACTCAGGGCTTGTGACTTCAGCTCACTGACTGCAGTGTTAACTGATGTCAGCGAGCAAAACACCCACTGCCACAACAAAGAGGGAGACAAAGTTTGTTGTACTGGCTCTGTGCCCTGCCTCTTTTTTTCTTCTAATTACATTTTGGACTGAAGCCTGGAGTGGACTTTCTTTTTAGTTTTTAACATTGTTAGCTCCAGCTTTTTTCTTTTTTTTTTTTGTGGCCAAATCTGGTCCAGATGGCTTCTTTGCTTCTTCTTTATCTTCCTCTTTAGTTTAGCTGATTCAAGTGTGCGCCATATTAAAATGTATTCAGATGAAATCTGTATGTTTCCGTTCCAATATTGTATGGACTTTAAAGAGCTGTTGGCTAAGCTGTAAGTGAACACCAGTTAGTTTTCCTTCACTGATCTTAATTTTTTAAACACAAGCATGGATGTATCTTGTTTCGCTTATTAGTGCAGTGTTAATTATTTATTTACATTTTTTCTAACTAATTGCATGGAAATTGGATTGTTAATTAATTTCCAAATGTGATGAAAGACCTTTACAATGCAGGAATTAACTTCAATAAACTAATATCTTTCTAAGCTTTTCCTCAAAGTTAACAATAAATCATATCCAGTCCAGCAGTTCATTGGGCATTTCAAAAAATCTATTTTTGGATCTTCATAAGGTTTGATACTGAAACACTTGCAAACTTATTAGTATGCACAAAGCTGATCTTTAAAGCAGGTGCAATTTCTATTGTGTGTGTAAATTAAGTGCGACAACTAGGGCTTCAGCTAATGAATATTTATCAAATTGATTCATTTGTTA